AAGTTTGGCATTACGACAAGTTGGCAACCTACAACCGCGAGACTGGTGAAGAAGGGTTATGCACTGTTATTCTTCATAACCGCTATGTTATTTAGGTCTTTTGCAGTCTTGTGGACCAGTCTGCTGTTTATTGACCATAAGGTGCAGGGTTCAAATCCCATATAGGGTACTTTAGCAAGCATGGGTGGGGGTAATTCTTATATTAAAACCAGGTTTGACCGAATATTTTACTCTTTAGTTAATTACGGGTAATAAACGAATATTATTGCATATTATAAAACTATACCACATAATGTTGCATTAGGAATTTTTCACAAATACTGCATGCAATAAGAGCATGTAGCACAACAATTTGTATATTTGTGTGATTGCCAAATGGTTCACTGAATCTGTACATTGTCCTGGGTAGCTAAATCCCCCTTCAAACTTTTGACCTCAAAATATAGATATATATTTCGCAATGCATTATTGAATATTCATGAGCTCAACACAAATTTGTATCGGGGAGATTTGCCGACAGTTGTGCCAATTGTTTAAAAACGAACATTTGTAAACAACTCTAAATAATGTTATTAACTCGTAAAATAGCGTGACTGATTTATATTCCTGTGACGGTTAACTACTAAACCAATGTGTCCGTGTTTGTTTTGTATTCGAATATAACAATAATATTATTATTACTTTGGGGTATTCTCGTATAACCTTATCATCTTTCCCTTCCAATAGGAATCCAAAATGTTTGGAACAGAATCAGCGAACATCTTTGTGTGGAGTCCCGTCAAACTCTTGGCAGCCATGTTTGTTTTTATTATTAGAGAACGCTTACACGCACAATCTTTCCATATTCGGAATTCACATTTTCTAATATGGTGGGATAATAATACCCTGCAAAATACTGAAAAAAATACAGCACGTTGTAACTTGTGGCGTTACCGTGACAGATGTGTAATAATATCAAATAACTTAATAAATAATATCAAATATATAAATATAATATATCACCGCATATCAGAAAAACAGAATTTTACGATAATTATGTGGTATAAAACAATTACACACACATTAGAGTTTTGGAATATAAACTCTAATCAAATTATTTTGTCAACTTCGTATCAACATACGATGTAATATCTCTAACAGAAATCTAAGCAGAAACTAAAGGCCAGTTCTCTGATAATTGTATCATACAACGTAATTCGGCATTTGTGATTTTTTTTCTGGTGGAGTCATCACTCTCATTAGAAATTCTCTAGTCACTTATGTCCAATATATCACAAATGAGCTAACATCCAGCTTTTTTTCAAGAAAAGTATGCTTCATCCAGCAGCCTAGAATGGACACAAGTGAATTTGAGCTACTTGCAAACTGTTTGTTAACATTAACTGGGAAGGATCATGGTTACATCATAGATGTTGCTAACGAATCTTCATACGTTAGAGATTAATTAACCGTGCAGCAAACGATTCGGTACCCAATACTTTTGGTCGTACCCCACTATCTCTAAATTGTTTATTTAATTTACATAAGATGATTGGCAATTTAAGCATGGTGATTTCACATGTATTTCAAATCTGAACTGAATTTCATGTAAAATATCTAGCACGCCTTCGCCGTTCAGGGCACTGTTTATGTATAGAATCTGACAGCGGCGCACACGAAAACAATCAGTGATTATGTGAAGTCTGTGATTTGCACAACATTGACAATGAATACCACTTCTTGTTTGATATTTCAGTTTATTACGAATATAGCCACATGTACATTCTCATTAACTTTTATAATCCACCATCATTTAATAAGCATCTAAATTTACTTAAGGCCACAAAAGGAACAGACGTTATACAATGAGTGGCGTCTATATTTACCAAACTATTAAACTCAGGGTTGAAATTGCAGAAATATTGGGAAGCATTTGTCACTAAATCATTTATATTTTAAACGACCCTATAGATTACTACTCCGGACAATATCTAAAATCAGAGTCAACCAAAAATAAGCAAGTTTCTTATGCTTTTATTTTACACGCAAACTGTTAAACTCGACACACTAATAATCTAGAGAACATTTCTACGTGTGGAAATGAAATAACTGTCTCATACTGTTTGTAAAAATGTAGTTTGCTCAAACTATGACTGACAGGAATTTTTAAAACTTTAGCAGCCATTTTTCGTGATTTGGTTAGAAAAAAAGTACAGTCATTAAATGTTAATAAATAACAAGTGAAATGTGTATTGAGAGTTACGATTTGGCTTCAGGAATCCGCCATGATGTAACTGACTTTGGGTAATTAGCATGTGAATGCAACAAGTCATGCACAATTTGTGGTCAGGTTACAATGAATTGTAATCCTCTAATTAATGATAAGACATTGGTAATTATGTTCCCTCTTTCCAAAACCTAATTTTATAGTAAATATGTTAATTGTTTATCTGTAAAGGTTGTCTTAAGGTAGCGAGAAGGGTTTTGTGACGTTTTTAAATAAAACATTCTCTGTCTGTGGTCTCGTTCAGAACAGTAATTTAGGTTATATATATCAAAAGACTAAGTATAGAGGTGCAAGTTCGCACAAACTGGACAGTCATTGTTTACATAATTATCACGTGACATCAAAAAATGGCGAACCTTGTAAAAATGACTAAGTCCGCGATTGCGTGAGCACACTGCGGAATTTCCTGGTGAAATTTACGTCATAGATTGTCCGTAATCAAGTCCATTGAAATATTAACCAATGATATCATAGAACTCATAAAGAGTGTCAGATAATGAATAATTTCAAGCTCGAGCGTGAAAAT